CCCCAAAACCCCAAAACCCCAAAACCCCAAAACCCCTTTCGGGATTATCCTATTGAAATTTATAAGTTATCTTCAGAATTGGTAAAATTGAATTAACTTCAGGAGTTACGTCACGATTGAGAAATCCTTGGTGATTTTCTCGCTCATATCTTCCATTGTACTTAGATCTAGCATATACTTTCTAAGGTAGACTAGAAACACATCGAGGCGTTTGCCTTTGAAAGGATGGATAGGTACTCAGCTGCCCATATTACTTCTAACAACCTCTGGGCAAGAATCTATGAGCACTATGTTCTTCTTGGATCTTCCCTCTGTAAAGAATCTTGATAAGTTCTTAGGTTTTCCAGGCACACAGTGCGAAATCGAGATGGTGAAATACTCATTCTCTGACTGCAAGATATCAAGCAGGAAGATTAACAACTTATTTGTCCAGATTTGAGTATACAACCAACTCGTATTCTCGCATTATAGCCTTAAGGAAGGCGAATACAAATGGGCGTAGATAGATATAGAAAGGTTTGCGGCCAAGTCGGGAGGCGAATTCCCTATCAACATAGCTATAATAAGGCATATCCTCAATCTCTGTAGGAAAATTAACTCAGTATTGACTTACCTTCCTCAGATATGAGCATGATTGTTTTATCTATCTCAATGAAAGCCATCCTGTAGGTGAGACTTAGTGCTTACTTTTTGGTAGGATCGTGCTCTCCGATTCACACTTTTCTAGGTTGAGCTGTCCTGCCTCTGTCTGGTAGAGGCTTACCAAGCTGTTTATTTGAAGTTCTGAAGATCTTCTGAACCAAGATCAAAATGTTCTGGGGTTTTGTGGTTGAAGAATTCATACAGATAGCGATCAGCATGATCAAAATCAACATCAGCATTCGATGCAAGCCAGTAGGCTAAATATGAGTTATTAATTTTGAAATTTTAGAAGAGATAGAAAAAATAAAAGGTTCAGGGTTTTAGATTTAGTCGTTATTGGATAGTATAAATCCCTGATTTTTCATAAAATTTTGGTCAGAAATTAACAATTTTGTAAAAAATACCTTCGTTCTTCTGGCTGAAAAATGGGGTAGGATCTTTGAAGATAGGAGTAGCTCCACTATCTACCAGAAGAGACTGTGCTGCCAGAAAAGGATTGCTTTCCAAACTCTTACAGCTCTCCTCTAATTTTTCAAGCTGTATTCTTTTGATAATATCTTGAGGCAAGAAATTGAACACACGAGATCTCTTCAGATTTGGTCTAGCAGTGAATACTTGTAAAGCTCATTCTGAATTGTCATTATACTAAATATCAATCTCTGGACTGTATAAACCCCTACCATATTTGGAACCGAAGATTTGCAGATACCTGGTTGTAATCCACACTCCTCAGAGACATGGATCTCATGAGGGAGATCTCCTACATTATTGATCTCTTCTAGGTATTTCTCATATGTGTCTTCTTGCTCTTTCTCAGATTCCATATGTTCTTTTTCCATGATTGGAGTTAGCTCTCTATTAAAATTAGGTGAATAATTTTATGATAAAAAAGAAAGATTTGAATTGTAGAGCATTTACCCTTTTCCAATAAATTTCTCCTCTTCAAAATTTTCTAAAGGGATTTTGTTCACAACTTGGTCTTTAGAAGGACTAGATTAGTTAGATGTATGTCTCACTGAGAGTTACTCCCTGATAAGCTGATTTTAAGCTTCGCTATATTTCCAGTTACAGACCTAAATCCTCTGAAATTTTCACTAAATTTCGAACTCCCACAAAAACCCTATCCCACCACTATTTCAAACCCACCTTTCTCCTTAAAGAGCCTGAATTTACTCTTATTCTTAAGCCCCAAAAGATCCTGAGAATCCCCTCTATTCGGTCTCTTCTTAACACTCCCAAGAGACACCTCAGGGATGCTCCCTCTCATAGATTTACACTTCATCTGAGCGATAGTCTGGGTCTTAACTTTCTCTACCAAAATCAGTCTAAAATCCATACCCAAAGAATCTCTTTTACTCTGCCCTAAACCCATCCCATTCTTCACTGCCCCCTTCCTGTGTAAGAAATCGAACTATAATAAAACCTAAAAACCCGAGTTTTCCGCTCTAGGAGGCCTTAAATGGACTTACTTCGTTCACCTTAAAATATCTGACTCTGTTTCACCGGGTTGTGGGCTGACCTAGAGGTTAAGAGGTTAGTGAGGGAGTCTGGGGGCGTAGAGGGGATTTTAGAGGGTGGATGAGGGATTTTGGGGGGTTTTAGGGTGAAAAGGGGGTTCTGTGGGGTTAGCATAAATTACTTGGAATAAACAAGAAATAAAGGGACATTTCAACAATAGAAATATTTTCAGAGATCTGATTGATTTAGATCGTGAAATTATGCTAAATACTAATTATTTACCATAACTTCTACTGGAGTTTTTAACAAAACTTCTCTACATTCGGAGTGTTTCTAATGCAAAAAGAGCTTAAAGGATTATTACAAAGAATTTTACCTCCTTGAAGTAGAAATAGTTTACTTATAACTAAGTTATCCCAAATTTTGGCAATTTTAAGATAATTCCAGCATAAATTTGAACGAGTTATCGTATTAGTTTGAATCATGGCTAGCCTCTAATGTTACCAAAAAAATCATTCCTTGACCTCGTATATCAAGAATGTAGCGATAGGTGTGGAGTGCAGGTTTAATTCAAATAACCCCATTAAGATTTTACTCTTTTGGCTAGATTTCAGGTGAATTTAGTTGAAATTTACTTATTCTTCATAAAAATCATCCATAATTACTTTTTTCCAAAAATTTCATGAAATTTAAAGTCGGTTTAAGGAATTTTTGAAAATTACAGGGATATTATCAGACTCAAATAATCTATTCATCTCAGCTAAATCAGTACATTAATCAGAGCAATACAATCCAGATTCAACAAGTGCTCCTGTCTGAGTTCTAAACCTCTAAAAACAGTAAAAAATTGCCTAAACCACATTCTCTTCATAATCCCAAAACCCCACTTCCCCACCTTCTGCTTCTGCCTTACCATTGGTTGGATCTAGGTCATCGTCCACATAGTCACAGGAGTCCCATAAATCCTGTGCTGAGCTATTCTTCTCTCTCTGCATTACTTTCTCTTCTATAAAATATGTAAGCCACTTGGCCTCATTCCCTACAGAAATCTGGCAATTTAGTAGTATAGGAAAGTTAGTAAGTTACAAACTAAGGGTTAGTTCTAGAGGTTATGTAGTAACCCAGTCAGTCTGGAGGAGACCTCTTTTAATCTCTCTCTGACTGGAGCTGTCCGGGAGGATTCCTCCTACAAGTGTACTCCCAGACTGGAGGTTTGACTAATAACCGGTAAGACTAATCGTCAGGTTGTAAGAATTAATTTTCCTAGTCAAGTATCACTTCAAAATTCTGGATAATACACTTTCATTTTTGAAGGAAATAGAAAGGACATCTTACTGCAGTCAAAAATATTTAATATAGAATATAAATAATTTAATTGTAATGGGGTTTTGGGGTTTTGGGGTTTTGGGGTTTTGGGG